ATAGATAATATAAATATTATAAATAAATATGATAATATAAATATTATAAATAAATAAATAGATATAAATATAATATATAAATTAGATGAATAGATAAATATATAAGAGTGCTGCAAATACGGAATTGGAGAAATTAAGAAATAGAAGAATGACGAAAAAGAAAAAAGGAACAAAAGAGAAGTGAGGGGCGAAGCGAAGGCAACAGAGAGAGGAAAGAAGAGAGAGGGAAACCATCGGAAAGGACAAAGAAAGGGAGAAGGGGAGAGGGGGGGCGGGGGGGGGTCCTGCGATACTGAAGGAGCCGAGGGTGGAGGGGGGGGGGGGGTCCTTAAGGATGTTATTAGAAAGATGAACATTAGTTAGTGTCTGGGGGATACGCTCCTCTCTCTCTCCCCCTCTCTTTGCTTTCTTTCTATTTCCCCTTTTTCTTTGTTTATTTACTTATTTCTTTCGCGGGGGTTTTTCGTTGGGTTATTTTTTTGAATTTTCGATTTTTTTTTTCTTTTTTTCTTTTTTTCTTTTTTTTTGAGAGAGAGAGAGAGAGAGAGAGAGAGAGAGAGAGAGAGAGAGAGAGAAGAGAGAGAGAGAGAGAGAAGAGAGAGAGAGAGAGAGAGAGAGAGAGAGAGAGAGAAATGAGGGAGAGAGAGAGAGAGAGAGAGAAAAAGAGCCCCATTGCCGTTTTAAGTCGAGGCAGTGTGTTCTTTTGCAGGAGTATTAGTCAGGCCGTGAGTGGAACATGTGTTTAACACTCATCCTGGTAATGATCTGGGTGTCATGCGCCCCCTTCCCCTCTCCCTCCCCTCTTCCCTTCTGTCCCTCACTCTCCCCCCTCTCCCCTCCCCTTCCCTCCCTCTCCCTCACTCTTTTTTCTCTGCCGGTTTAACTTTTTTTTTCGCTCGTGTCATGGTAGCTCACTTCTGAGGGTTTTTTTCTCTCTGTTTCCTCTTCCTTCTCTGATTTTTCTTCTTTTCTCCTATCTTCTACTCTTCTCTTCTTCTCTCTCTCTCTCTTCTTCTCTCTCTCTCTCTCTCTCTCTCTCTCTCTCTCTCTCTCTCTCTCTTCTCTCTCTCTCTCTCTCTCTCTCTCTCTCTCTCTCTCTCTCTTCCTCCCCCCTCCTTCCCCTCCTCCTCCTCTTCCTCCTCTTCCTCCTCCTCTCCCTCCTCCTCCTCCTCCTCCTCTTCTCCTCCTCCTCCTCCTCCTCCTCCTCCTCCTCCTCCTCCTCCTCCTCCTCTCCCTTTCCTTCCCTCTTTCCCACTTCCTTCTCTTCCTGTTTTCATTTCCTATTTCTCCATCTCTCCCCGACCACTGCTTTCATTCTTCCTCCTTCCATTTTCGCCGTTATATCTCTTCCCCTTTTATTTTTCTTCGCTCTGGATTTCCTCCTCTCACGCATTTCCGCCATTTACCAAGATTTATCATAGATTCCACACTCAAAAAAGAATGAATAAAACTCCCCGAAGAAGCATAAAAGACAAAAAAAAACGGAAGAAAGATGGGATTTGAAAGCCAGTGACCCGAAGGCAAGGAAAGGTAAGAAAGGGCCGAAGGGAAAGGGAAAATGACATTTAAAAGTCAATTCTCTTATCATAATCAGGTCCGCATACTTTCCTTTTTAAGAAGTAAAAAGTTAAGTAACAAGGGCCCGCTCTGGCTGACCGTGGCCGGCTGCCGGTGGTGACAAGACAACTTTAACTGTACTCTGTTTCCTATAAATAAATTCACAGTTATTGACAAGGTACACTCGGGGTGGGGCTAGGGGGGCTGGGGCTAGAGAAGGGCGGGGGTTGGGGGAGGGGGGTTGCAGATGTAGTTGTCTGCTGTTGCAAACCGTAATGGCATTCATTGATCACTCTTAATATTCCTCATTTGGGATTGAGTTTGGGAGGGAAACGAGATTTTCATTTTCCCTCCGAACGCCCGCGGCGGCGGCGACGGCTCGACGGCGGCGCGGATATTGTGTGCGGATTCTGCGGCGGGTTTTGCTTCGGTCGCTTGCTTCGCCTTGCTTTGCTGCGGGCGGGAGGGCGTCTGCTGGCGGTGGGTTTCGTTGTCGTAGAGGGTGCGTGGGTGTGGGTGCACTTGCCTCTGCTTGTTTAGTCCTTTGTTGTTTGGTTGTCTATGTATATTATGTTTGTTTGCAAAGCATTTACTTTCTCGTGTAACATTTCCCTTCTTTTTTTTCAGGTAAGAACCGGAAAGCAGAGGCGCAGGTGCATCGGCGCTTCCCCTGCGCGCTCCGTCGCAGCTGCGCCCGGTGAGCCCTTCATTAGCGCCGACCTCTAGCGGCGGAGGGCGAGGCCCCCCGCGTCGCCGGGACCCGCGGAGCCGAGGGGCGGAAGCGCTCCCACGGCCTAGGATAACACGTGTTGCGGTGCGGCTCCTGTGACCGAGTTTAACCTGGTACTCTCCCTCCCTCTCCGCTGCCCCCTTATCTCCCCTACCCCTCCTTCGCCTGTCCTTCCCCTTCCCCCT